ATTTTTTTTTAAAAAAAGCCAATGAACCAAAGAAAAAAACTACTCACCTGTACATTAAAAAATCTTTTTTTTTAAGCTGAGAAAAAAACTCCAGAGCCCAGCATAAAGTCAAAGCAGTTTCTTAAAGTAAGGCTTTTCTTTCCAGGTCAGCAGATAACTAGAGGAAACAGCAACACTAACCATACAAAGACATAAAGATAAGCAAGAGTGCTTACTTTTACAAAACACTGATAACTAAGATTGTTTTCACTGTGAAGGCAGCCAACCTTGTGTAGATAAACAGAATCGCTAAAGCTATAGGTCAGTGGTTCTCAAATTAGGGCTGCCGCTTGTTCAGGGAAAGCCCCTGATGGGCCGGGCCGGTTTGTTTACCTGCTGCGTCCGCAGGTTCGGCTGATCGCGGCTCCCACTGGCTGCGGTTCGCCGCTCCAGGCCAATGGGGGCTGCGGGAAGGGCAACCAGCACATCCCTCGGCCCACGTCGCTTCCCACAGCCCCCACTGGCCTGGAGCAGCAAACCGCAGCCAGCGGGAGCCGCGATCGGCCCAACCTGCGGATGCGGCAGGTAAACAAACTGGCCCGGCCCACCAGGGGCTTTCCCTCAACAAGCGGCGGCCCTAGATTGAGAACCAATGCTATAGGGCACTGAAGCTCAACAATGAGTAAAATTGCTTTTATTTCCCCAGCATCACTCTTTGACAGAAAAAGTGTATACAAGCCTTATACCACTCATGAGTATTCATTTATATTAAAACAGCTGAGTTTGCCATATGAATCTATTTTTCATTGTCAGTTTAGATGTAAGAAGCATCAGCAATAGCCTAGACGTTGTAAGTCACCAGGGCAAGTAAAAGTGCATTAGGCATTAAAAGGCAAACATTAAATTACATCAATCCATAGCTATTTGTTGATACTAGTTAAATCCAGCATTGAGTGTTAAACTGTCTTTTATCAAAGTGACCTAACACAGGACACTGGAAGCTTTTAGATGAAGATCTTTTTAACACCAGAAATATTGTCCTACACAGCAAAAACTATGTTTAGCTTTTGCCCTGCAGAAATTCAAGTCACAGAAACAGACTCACAAAGCAAGTTAAACAACTTCACTCACCCGCACACACTTCCATTCCTCTCCCAGTGATGGATTTTAGAGAGAGGGAAATAGCATCACAATTACCTTTTACTGCAGTTTAAGCCTATGGAAATAGTCCATTACCATTACATAGTAACTGTCCTTGAAAGACTATGTTTGAATTTTATAGATAAAAACCAACAAAAAGTTCTTATTTGAAATTGCTGTTCCCCAAAGCCAGCAAACTTCCAAGTACTATAATTAGTGTTATTGTAGACTTTTTAAAAAAATTTTTGGTAAATCCACTTTTGGAGAATAGACTTTTTTTTTTAATAGACTTGTTAGAAACCTGTCTAAAATGAGAAGTATAGCTCTTGCCTACCCACTTACACAGACTGCAAAGGAACAGTTAGACTGCTAAGCACAGTTGTCCCTTTATAAAGAAAGCACACAGCACATTCATGGATGCAGTATAATATAATACTACTCAAGGACCACTTACAACATGCTACTTCCATTAGCTGAAATTAATTGTCCCACATTTTATCAAGCTTTATTCTTCCTCATTCAGTGCTACATTCCATTTTCTAAAGTAAAAAGGGGTTGATGGGATTAGTTGTCATTCAATTTCTGTATTTTTTTTTTGTTTCAAAGGAGCTTAGAGTGCTATAGTAGAACCAGTAAGCAAAAATGGATGTATGGTTTCATGTTGCACAAATAATTACATATACGGTGTTTAACAGTGAGAATGGAATTCTATAGATGGACATTCAAGTTTAAAGGGAATTCAACAAATTATTACAGAACAGATGCAAAGTCCACAGTAACTTTAAGTATTTCATATGCAATCACTTGGAAGTGTCCTAATTCACCACAGCATCTGTTTAGAAATTTAAAAACTTAAAATTATCCTTCTATAACGATATCTAGTTTAATGTTAAGTTTAACAGATACTCAAGAAAAAATGTTTCAAATAGCAGCAGATTAGTTCCTTTGAAAAGAAAGCTATAGAATTTCAAGATCAATAGACTTCTAAGAGCTCAAGCTGGACCATTTCCTAACTGTGAAGAGGAAACTAAGTACAAAAAGAGAAATTAAGGTTTTTTTTCCAGTCAACACTGGAATCAAATAAAATATGAAGATACAAACAGAACAAAGTCCTTGACAATTTAAATGTTTGCTTACAAGAACAGAAACGTATAATTCATATGTATAGTACTAAGAAACTTCCATTAAGTTAACACAAAGAAATCTCTACAAGTAGGTCATAACAATTACATAACTTTACATATACTCTTTCACAAAATGCCACAGAGTTAAGTCTCCTGTTTTTATTTTTCAACTGCAACTATTATTTAAGGGATACAGGCAAAGGAGCAAGGATCTGTTTCAGAAGATATCTGAAGGCAAGAGTTGATAAGATGAAAGGATAACCGAATACTGTTCCAGACAACAAGAGCAGTTACAGAAAAGGAGCCTTTCACACTCATGCTAGGGAAACTGTCTGAAAAACCAGAAAGGTCTGTGATAGATAAGCACAGAGAGAAGGATGGTATGTAAAAAGCAGCAGCGTCTGAGATGTAGGCAAGTCTCAAGATGGGTTTAAAAGAGATGGGCACAGAACTCACTCTTTGGTCACTCAACAATTTAGGATTGCATTTTGCACATGACCAATTGAAAAAAGAAAAGGAGGACCTGTGGCACCTTAGAGACGAACCAATTTATCAGAGCATGAGCTTTCACGAGCTACAGCTCACTACTTCATCGATGAAGTGAGCTGTAGCTCAGGAAAGCTCATGCTCAAATCAATTGGTTCGTCTCTAAGGTGCCACAGGGCCTCCTTTTCTTCTTGCGGAGACAGACTAACCCGGCTGCTAGTCTGAAACACAACCAGTTGAGGCATTTTTAGAGCACAGGGTGCACATCGACACAAGGTTTTCCGTATTTGCTAATAAATCACCTTTTCAGTTATTTTTTCCACACCCAAATCAATTAACATACTGTGCTCATTCGTACATTAATTGCCGTTTTCAATGAACTAACGACTTGAACACTGTATGCTCCCTTTCCTCAGGATGGTAAACTGGTTACACTGCAGGTCCTAACCAAGAGCACTGTCCTCCGACTAATTTTGGGGGAAAGGAACGAATATAAATTCAGCAGGAACAGAACTACAGAAAGACAGATCATTTATTCCATAAAAGTTTACTAAAATTTGCAATATATACTATTCCACTCTCAAATTAACTAACACATTAAACAGGTTTATTTCTCAATGGATCTCAAGAGCCAAATGCATGCTTGACTCATTGCAGAGAATTTCCAGTAATATCAATGATGTTTGCGTATGGGTTAAAGGCACAAGGTGGCAGCTTTAAATTAGGGTCTGATCAAATGCCAGTTAAAGTTAACAGAAAGTCTTCCGGCTACCACTGAAGTTGGTGGACCAGGGTTTTAATGCCTAACATTTGAATCCTGAAAACCCTATCAGTGATGTCTGAGGATGACTTTGGTAAATAAGTCAGATACAAACAATGGTACCTAGAATCAGACTGAATGTGGGCAAGAGTTCTGAAAGCTTCACACTGCACTATTAAAGCATCTTAATCTGTAGTGCTCCTACGTAGAATACATTTCAATTACTGTCCTAATAGAAGACTGTAGTTGTAGCCATGTCAGTCCCAGGATATTAGAGAGAGACAAGCTGGGTGAGGTAATATCTTTCATTGGATCAACTTCTGTTGGTGAGAGAGACAAGCTTCAGGTCAGAGGAAGAACTCTGTGTAGCTCAAAGGCTTGTCTCTCTCACCAACAGAAGTTGGTCCAATAAAAGATATTATCTCAACCACATTGTCTCCCTAAGACAGTGGTTCTCAACTCTGGTCCACCGCTTGTTCAGGGAAAGCCCCTGGCGCGCCGGGCCAGTTTGTTTACCTGCCGCATCTGCAGGTTCGGCCGATCGCGGCTCTCACTGACCGCGGTTCACCGCTCTAGGCCAATGGGGGCTGCGGGAAGGGTGGCCAGCACATCCCTCGGCCTGCGCCGCTTTCTGCAGCCCCCATTGGCCTGGAGCGGCAAACCGCGGCCAGTGGGAGCCACGATCGGCCGAACCTGTGGACGCAGCAGGTAAACAAACCAGCCCGGTGTGCCAGGGGCTTTCCCTGAACAAGCGGTGGACCAGAGTTGAGAACCACTGCTCTAAGAGAAAATTGCCATTCATGACATATTGCCTGGCAGTTCTGATCTGGGCAACATTCCAATAAGGACTATTATGAGGCCATCAACTTTCACTTGTAACAGTGGCTAAATTTGACCCCAGTTTTCCAGAGATGCTAAACTAACACCCTATTCCACCTTGTCCCGACACATGAAAATACTAGAAGTCTTGCAAAAGTTGTATACCTTTTAGTTGTAATATACTATTAAGTACGTAAATTATCCAAGTTTACTAAGATATCTAGAGCAGCCATTTGGCAAGTGAACATCACTGCAAGGTGGACAGATGTTACTTAAAAAAAAAAAAGTAAATTTTACCAACTACCTTGTATTATTGCTTCACTCTAGATAATCATATCATCTTCCTTAAAATATTGATTAAAAGTTATGGTAATGTTTTCCCATTATTCTAGGAGACTATAAATTTTGAATATAATTAATCACATATCAAGTGAGCCTCTTCCCTGCCCCCCCCACCAAAGTTGGAGTTTCAAATAATTTCCTCTCATCAAAATGCTGATTGACATTCCCTGTCCAAGGTGCTTGTGATTACAGCTCTGCATTGCTAATAAGTGCAGATGAGAAGAACGTGCGGAACACAAAAAAAGTTTCAGTTTGAATAAGACACACCCTGTTACAGCAAACTTTAAACTATGAACACAATCCCTCCTACTTCCTGGTTGAATTTTATTAATCTTTGTTCTGAAACTTACACAGTGTGACTGATGTTGTTGAGCTGGCTGCTCTCATCCTCAAGTTCTGGACTGAAGGAGTCACATCTTTTCCAACCATCTTCTGTTTTAATCCATCTCCATCCTGGAGATCTCCAGTCTTGGCCCAAAAATGGCATGGTTTCCCTATAAGCAATAAGTAGTTTATTAGTGACAGGTATATTTTAAATTTAAATATTCCTGGAAATGTTTCAGAAACTCCCTCACACTTCCTAATTCATTACTCCACCTTCCCCCATTTTAAACAGGGCAATCAAGTTTTGGAAAAATTAGGTTTCTACAGTTAACAGTGTCTGGCAAAGAAAAAGCTGTTCCTTTTTTCTCCTTTGTGATGCATAAAAGGATGACCTGCAATTTTATAAAACAAACTTTTTACTGCATTAGAAATTCAGGAGTCATGTACCTTCCCCCCCCCTAGAATTCTGAAAGAGAGGGAGAACTAGTAAGTTTGACAAAGATACAAGAGAACTGAAAGCTGATTAAATTGAGAAAGGAAATGATTTTTATTCAGATAATTTAAGAGCTGTTTTGTTAACATGTATTTAATGCAAACAAGTCAAAAAGATGAAAGAAAAACTTGTTAAAGATACAAAAGCTCCTTCTGTTAAGGAGTTAGTGAGTTTCCAATCTACAATTCTTGATTTTCCAAGTTCTCGCTCCAGAAAACAGGCAAGATTAAACATGACATTCATGATATTTCTAAGGCACAAATGCAGCACATATGTTTGAAAATTGTGGGGGACTTTTTAAACTCAGTTATTTAATAAATCAGCAAGAGGGCACACACCCAAATCCCACCTCTCTCAACCCCAGGTTCCCTTCAAAATACCTGCAGTAAGAAATGAAGTGTTTCCTTCATGTGTAAAATGCATGAACAGGAGATTGTTAGGTCAGAGATCATTTCTGTTCTGGAAGTAAGAGAACTTCATGAAAGATAGTAAATTGGAGTTACTACACGTGAGGATACAATACAATAAAAAGAAATTAGAAACAAAAACAAAAAATGGAAAACTACATGCTAATAAATCTTGGGAATTTTCCACCTCCCCATATTAAAAAAAAAAGTGAAAAATCTATGAAAGATTTATGAACAAAAGACACTATGTGATTCAGTGGATGTTTATTCCTGAGACATACAAAGAAAGGTATACTATTCAAAATAAAACGTTTGTGAACTTTAAGTGAAACACAGGAGTTCCCAGTCAATTAAATACTAATATCATGTCTACACTATCCCACAGTTTGGACTAAGAAGGTGTGAACAGCAGTGCGCACCAAAGAGCTGCACTGTAATTCCTCTGTGTGGTCCCCTTGGGACATTTAAGTTTGCACTTCCAGTGCCAGAGGGGAGTGCAGCACTTTTGCGTGCACAGCTATTCACATCCCCTTAGTCCAGGGGTGGCCAACCTGTGGCTCCGGAACCACATGCGGCCCTTCAGAAGTTAATATGTGGCTCCTTGAATAGGCACTGACTCTGAGGCTGGAACTACAGGTGCCAACTTTTCAGTGTGCCGCAAGGTGCTCACTGCTCAATCCCTGGTTCTGCCACAGGCCCCGCCCCCTCCCCTCAGCCTGCAGTGCCCTCGCTTCTCCTTCCTTTCCCGCAGAGCCTTCTGCACGCCGATACAGCTGATTGGGAGGTGTGGGGAGGGAGGGGTAGGTGCTGATTGGCGGGGCTGCTGGTAGGTGGGAGGCACTGGGGGAAGGTGGGTGGGGGAGCTGATGGGGAGCTGCTGACATATTACTGTGGCTCCTTGGCAATGTACATTGGTAAATTCTGGCTCCTTCTCAGGCTCAGGTTGGCCACCCCTGTCTTAGTCCACACTGCGGGGGAGCGTAAACATGCCCTAAATGGCTGGACAGAAGTGCAGATTTTGTAAAACTGACAATTATAATTCATCTCTCCTGGCTTCCATGAATTTGCTTATACAATTTTGCACCAAATTGGTTGAAGGAACTATGCACCCTAAGTGGGGGGGCTTGGGTTCAAGTCCCTGCTCCAGAGTGTGGACCTGAATCTGGGTCTCCCACATCAGTTCCCTAACCACTGGGCTACTGGGTATTAAGAGGGTAGCACCATCTCCTCCTTGTTGGGTTTTGTGAATGATGCCTATATGCTCTTAAACATCTAGCCCCCAAATTTGAAATGTTTCATTTTGATGTTTGGTTTGACATTTCCAAAGTTCTCTTTTTTTTTGTTTTTGTTTTGACCAAATAATTTTGGCCAGTTCTACTCAGGATTATGCTCCAGACACCACATTTTAGTCTCTTATTATGAGATCAGTCATGTTGGCTAAGTAATAGAAAAGTTCAACACCTTTTCCTAATATATTTTCAGTGTTGTCATATATACTTCCAGTTCTTCATTGTTAACCAGATCAAGCCAGATTTCAATTGAGAGTCCCACAGTAGCATTAGCAAATTGTAAGGTGCTCCAAAACATCCTTTGGCTATGTTTTTAAATGCAGTAGTTCTCTGTAGAGCTCGTTGCTGTTTAATGTGAGCTGTGATCAAAGCCCCTTCATATAAATTGCAATACACTTATGATAGCCGGATACTAGTACAGAGACACAATCATCCTGAGAGTTCTAATGTGTCATAAGGAAATTGAGCCATTAATATCTTTATTCGGTCAATTAAACATGAGGCTGATGATGGGTTATATTTATTTTATATTTTTAAAATTCTACAATCTGTTATAGAGATCTGGTAAAAAAATGAAAAAGAGTTTTGAGACATGGAACAATTTCTTTATTCCAAAATTTTAAACAAAATACTTTTGAAAAAAAAAATGAATTTTCTAAATATTGGATTTGTTTTTCTCTCTTTCTTTGACAGAGTGGCAAATTTACTCTGTTTCATTTTTCCTTTTGCCACTAATTTCTCCAACTTTGGAAAAGGTTTGAAAATTTATAGAATGGCAAAAAGAAAAAAAGTCTAGATTTCATTTTATTGTTTTCAGTAGGAAAGAAAACAAAAAGAAAGGTGAGAAACGGAAAAGACAAAGTCCAAAACGCTAAAAAAAATAAATTTGATTTTCAAAACCTGAAAACCAAACAAAAAATTTCAATTCCAAGTGAAAAATTTCCATTTTGATGTTTCCTAATTTTTGCAGGGGATCATAGACCTCAAATTTGTTTAATAAAACACCCTTCATTTTTCTAATGGGAAAATGTTTTGGCTGAAAATATTAAACTGTTCTATGCGGGAGGCGTTACCCATATTTTCCTCCATGAGTGTTAAATAGTGTGCTGAACAACTTCATAGTATAGGTTGTGCAAATGGCATAAGCTGCAATTATATTTTCCTAGATTCCTTAATGGTAATCTGGACACAATACTCTGTAGGGTTTTTTTGTTTGTTTTTTGTTTTTTAGGAGAGAGAGGGAGAGAGAGAAAGTCAATTAGGGCTGCCAATTTTGGTTGGAGGTTCCTGGAGATTTCATCACATGACATAATCTTCAATTAAAGATTACTCTTTAATTCTTGGAGACTCCACGACAATCCTGGAGGGCTGGAAACCCTAAAATCAATAGCATTAAATAGGACAATCAGAAGCCTTAATCAGGATGCTTCTCATGTTCAAACCATCTTGTATTAATGTCAATGTTCCTACTTTTAGTTCTGCCTTTAATTTCTCCTGTTTCTTCACTTGCAGCTTCTAGTAGGTGAACTTCAATTTTTAAATCTGTCCACAGGAGTACATCTCTCTCCAAGGCAGAGTGTTTCAGTCATTTCTTTAAACTGCATACATTGTGCTGCACTGAAGGCAATGTTGTTCCTATAAAAGGCTGTTTTATCCTTCTTATCAAATATCTGGCGTTCAGGTGTTTGTGACAGTCACCATCTGAGCTATGCCACTAGAGTGTCAAAGGAAAAAAAATAGATCCGGCTACATTAAGTCAATGTGTTAAGTGCTACAGAAAGAACTGGAACATAGACAAAATAATCACCAGTTAATGTTTGTTTTTGGGCATCTCATTACCAGAAAGATACTGACAACATGGGAGGAGTTCAGAGCATCAAAAGTCATTACAGACTGGATGGAATGCATGTGAATAGTCCCACTAAAGTTATGAAGACATTTAAGAACATGAATGGGAATGTTAAGGCAGCAAAGAAATTCAATACAGAGAGATTCAAGTATTGCTTTGTGATCTTGTATAGGGCTTGATTAGTTACTACTAGCATCACATTGTTTTAAAAAAGAAGAAATTGAACTCTCTTTTTAATGTTTAACTTATTTCCTTTATTGGCAGCAGAAGTATTGATATTAAAGACTCTAAAGATGACAAAGGGCTGCACTGGCTTCTGGGATTACCATAGTTTTCTCCACAAATAAATGTAAAGGTTTGTTCCCTCCTCCCTCCCATATAAAGCAATGGGCTTCCTCACATCCATAAAGGTAAGCAGGTGTGCAAGTATATGGGTAGGACTCCCACCACTACATCACTCTTGTTGCACACACTTCTAAACTTAATCCAGAGACACTCAGGTTTTTCTGCAGTTTCGTACCGGAGCTCTGAGCAGATTCGTTGACTTCCACGATTCGACGCTCCCTACCTAGGCCTTTTCCTTCCACGGGGAGGATGGACGAGAACACCACTTGCCAAGGAATGTGTGGGCCCCTTACTGAATGTGGGAGGCAAACTAGTGACAGAGGATGTGGAAAAAGCTAATGTACTCAATGCTTTTTTTGCCTCTGTTTTCACTAACAAGGTCAGCTCCCAGACTGCTACGCTGGGCATCACAAAATGGGGAAGAGATGGCCAGCCCTCTGTGGAGATAGAGGTGGTTAGGGACTTTTTAGAAAAGCTGGACGTGCACAAGTCCATGGGGCCGGACGAGTTGCATCCGAGAGTGCTGAAGGAACTGGCGGCTGTGATTGCAGAGCCATTGGCCATTATCTTTGAAAACTCGTGGCGAACCGGGGAAGTCCCGGATGACTGGAAAAAGGCTAATGTAGTGCCAATCTTTAAAAAAGGGAAGAAGGAGGATCCTGGGAACTACAGACCAGTCAGCCTCACTTCAGTCCCTGGAAAAATCATGGAGCAGGTCCTCAAAGAATCAATCCTGAAGCACTTGCATGAGAGGAAAGTGATCAGGAACAGCCAGCATGGATTCACC